GACCGGGTCCAGCAGCAGCCAGCAATCGGTGGGGCGGCTAGTAGCATACCTTGGTGGAGGATTCCTTCTCTCTGTGTGGTACGGAGGCGCTGTGGGGGATGGCGGCGGCGGTGCACCGGAGTGGGCTACGGCGCAAGATAGAGGCATCACGGGGGATGGCGGTGGCGACATGACGGAGTGGAGCGGGCCACGGGCGGACAGCCGCACGACGCGAGGCGGAGTCGAGAATTTTTTTTATGAGAGAGGCTGTTGGTGTTTCGAATAAACATCAACTAGTAAATTTATATTTGTTACGCGTTAGGCCCGAATGGTGTACTAAAGAACACAAGGTTTATACTGGTTCGGGCAGAATGTCTCTACGTCTAGTTTGTTGCTGCTCGTGTTATTAGCATTGAAAAGGTTCGTAATAGGGGATACAAACGATTGAGAGAGGGACATGTCCCAAGTCTCTGATGGAAAGGTCAAAAGGATGCCAAGAGCTCGGTTGTTGCTTGGCTGTGTGTTGTGTGATGCGTTGTGTGTGGAATTGATCCGTCCCTTTAGTGGGGTGTCATGTCCCCCTTTTATAGATCAAGGGGGAGCAGGGATTACAGATTGAAGAAAGAGGAAAAAACAAAAGTAGAGAAGGTCCTTAGAACGTGCTGGGTCTTCCTTTTTCCCTTGAGCCTGCCCTGCTGACATGGCAGACAGTGCCAAGGATAGCATGTTCGTTGATCCTGATAGGGCCGTGCTTCGGCTTCATTCAGCAAGTGGTCACGTCCCATCCTACTCCGACGAACGGTGCGGCGTGTCAGGGTGCTGAGCCGTGACCCTAAGGGAAGCAGACGGGGAAGTGACCATACGTCCGTACTGTAGATGATGTGAGCTCCCTTCTAGATTATAGTGGTTGTCATATGCTTATGTCAGGATCCGCGTCCGAGGGCTGACGGCGACGCCCACAACACTATAAGACAAAAGTTGGCGCCTACAACACTGTTCGGGCTCTGTCATGCCTGGAAGGGCTTAAAGCGCCTGTCCCGTCATATCCTGACGGTACCTGCCCGCAGGCGTGCAGGGTATGGTCCTCGGTACTGCGGTTGACCCGAATGTCCCGTCTTACCTTGTGCTCGTCATTATGAAGGAGCAGGGTGCAGTCGTCGGGCGAGGCGGAGCCTGCCTCCGAGACGTCGGGCGAGGCGGAGCCTAGCCCTCGGGGGTCGGGCGAGGCGAGGCTAGTCCCCAGTCGTCGGGCGAGGCGGAGCCAGTCCCTGGTCGTCGGGCGAGGCAGAGTCTGCCCCCAAACGTCGGGTGAGGCGGAGCCATCCCTCAGACGTCGGGCGAGGCGGAGCTGCCCCCAGACATCGGGCGAGGCGAAGCCAGCCCTCAGCCATCGGACGAGGCGGCGTCTGCCCCCAGACGTCCGGCGAGGCGGAGCCAGCCCTCAGCCGTCGGACGAGGCGGAGTCCAGCCCTCGGGGGTTGGATGAGGCGGAGTCCAGCCCTCAGGGGTCGGGCGAGGCGGAGTCCAGCCCTCGGGGGTCGGGCGAGGCGTGGCCAACCTTCGGTCGTATGGGCAAGAAGTGCAGTTGTGTTCTTGTATGTTTGGAAGCATCAACGTTTGATGATTATTAGCTCCACCTCATTGGGTACCCCAACATTAGGTCCCCGACAGAGACGGACAAAGCGGAGTGGGATGTCGCGTCCGACTGGACGGACGCCCGCGTCTAAGCATTTCTAAAAAAAAAGCAAACCTAAAAAATCGGAGCTCTACCAAATTCCAAATTGTTCTTCAAACTCTCCCACTTGCTCTGTGTATAAGAAAAGCTAGCTAAATACTAGGGATCTCATAATAAACTTCACAACACAAGATCAACGTAGTGACATAAACCCTCCTCTATATCGCACGAGAACGGCTCCAGTACACCTCTTTCTAAAATGTGCACAAATATCAAAGCAGTCTATATCTAATAACCTTGGGTCCGCACGTGCCTGAACCGTCCAAGCCCAGCGCCCCAGCCCATGTCCAGTGCTGATCCAAAGCCTAACTCATCTCTCCTAGGTTCGGTGACTGCTCCGTTTGCTCGTTTGAAGGAGATGGCGCCTGGACGCGTGCGTGGTCGTAGCAACAAGGACCGTGACCGGCTCAGTAGGCGGTGAGGGGCTGCTTTGATGTTCGGCTTCCTGGTGGCAGCAACGACCAACGAGGACCTGGAGCTCCCAGAGCTGCGCTCGGAGCGTGCGGTACCTCTCCTGGTGTGGCGAGTTTGGCGATGAGCATGGCGCCGGTGCAGATGAACTGCTATACGGAGAGAGAAATACATGAACATGTTCATTAAAAAATCCTTGTTTATTGTCAACGGAATTCAGGTCACAGAAATGGATCTATCATCCTGTACATGGCCACGTTAGGGAACCGCCGCCGGCTGCGGCCTGAGAGGATACGCAAAACCATGTGGAACCGAACAAGAGGGGATCCGATAACTGGGGATCGGAGATCAGTTTTGACTGGATATGGGCTGGGTTTGGACCGGCCAGGCCCAAACGTGACCCAGGTGGAAATAATTAAGATAATATTTAATTGCTGCTTTGAGATCCGTGTAAATTTTAGGAGGAGGGGTACCGGAGCACTTGCTATATCGCACGGAGTCTAAAAGATGAGTGACTCAAACCACAATCTGTGCTAACAGTAACATTTGACTCGTGGCAACTTATGTCAAGGCCAGCAAAACTCGCCGTTTTGCAACGAGGAAATTTTCTTTTGGCGTCACAACAGTGCCAGGTCTGCTATTTTCTTTAGACTACGGATGGAATGTATTTTCTTTATCATAATAAAATATAAGTTATTTGGGTTTTTTTTTTGCGATTACACGATACAACTCAGTTAACTTTGACTATCATATACTACTTCCTCCATTTTAAATGGTAAAAGTTCTGAGTTTTCTAGATATACGGTTTTTGCTATGCATTTATATGTACATTATGCCTTAAATATATAGTAAAAATAATGTATCCAGAAAAGCTAAAACACCTCGTAATTTTGAATATATGGGGTACTATTTTATCCTATATTCACTTCACAAAATTGACACTATTGGATTCATTATTAAAAATGCTTTCATAACACTCCTTTCGTTTGACGAAGGCTATTGCTCTCAAAATTCGTATTGTTTAGAATTATAAAATTTATGGTTTAAGGTTCACTTCAAGAAATTTGCCCTTAAATTATGATAATTAATAAAAGCTAATGGTCAGCTTCCGGGGTATAGCTGCTGCCCGAAGTGTTCAAAGGAGTCCAGACCAAATGTAATCCCTAAATGTGCCTCGGCCTTAAGCCAAATCTTGTAATTTAAACTATTATTCTTCTTAATATAATGATACGTAATTCTCTTGCGTATTCAAGGAAAAAAACTAATAGTCAAAGATATATACGTTATATTAGATCAAAGGTAAAACTAGTATAGAAAAAAGAGCCAAAGCTAAAATTACAATTTTCTTGGAACATACTCCCTACATCTTTTTAATTGTCTATCTCGCTTCTCGACAAGTCAAACATTCTCAACTTTAATCGAATATATATAAAAAATATTAATATTTATAAAATATAATTAATATAATTAGATAGACCATTAAATCTATTTTCATAGTAAACTTATTTAAAGATACAAATATTGGTAATATTTTCTATAAACGGATCAAACTTAAGAAGGTTTGACCAGCACGCTTCTCATACGATAGTTAAATAGGGACAGAGGAAGTAAGAATATATACTAATTTTTAAATATAGGATAGCATATTTTAATGGTATTACAAGATAAAGTTCGCTTTTCTTTTTAACTCATGGCAAAATTAAACACTTATATATGTGACAGGATGAATTAAAACGGTAATGCAGGGAACGGGCTTCCATCTGCCAGGAAGGCCCGTGGTGGGCTGCGACGCCAGTCCAACTACCCCATCCTATATCCGCTCGGGAGTTTCTAAAAAAAATCTTCTTGTCCAATCACTCCTATCCACTCGATCATCCACTCACTTCTATCCACTCTTGGGGCAATGGCCACCGTGAGGACCAGGCGCGAGGTCCTTGCAGTGTCTTCCACCACCCAGGTGCGGAGCGACGTGACCCGTCGCGTTCGGCCCCGCTCAGAGTCGCGGCGCTCGGCTGCCGACCCTACCAAGCGCGGTGCGCAGCTACCCCCTCCAGTCGTGTGGCCGCTGCCTCCCAGCCGCGTTATAGAGCCACAGCCGCGGGGCCACTGCCTCCGGTGAACTCTACACGTCGACGAGCCTCTATTCTCTCAGGCAGCAAGGAGATGTTGCGCTAAAAACGCATATAACAAGTGTATGTTTCAAGTGTTTCAGATGTATGTTGCAAGTGTTTCATACGAATGTTGCAAAAGTAGATCGGGATGTTGCATATTACGTGGTTGTACACATATGTTGTAAACGTCTGTTCCCAATGTTACATATGTTTTCATATGCAAGTTGCATATGTTTCACACATATGTTGCAAGTATTTTATCTAGATGTTACGTATGTTTACAATGATTTTTAAGTGTTTTTGCAAACATTTCAGACGCATGTTAGTGTTTCATCTGTCTTTTTTTTTATGTTACGAGTGTTGCATCTAGATTTCTAAAGTAATCGGGTACGCGTCGTACACAGGAGTGGGCACGAGTGGTCCCTGCACGGGCGACGGCCAAGCGGCGCGGGCCCCGCGTGAGGGTGCGCGAAACGTGGGCACGGCGGGCGATGTCCGGGAGGGCGGGCTCCCGCGTGGACAGGTGAACGGGGGTGTGGAAACGAATTGCAGCCGTGGGACGCCCACGCGCTAGCAGTGCCGGAATTAAAAACTTACGGAGTACTACCAATCAAGCTTGCATAACCAGTTTCCTGGTTTGGAGTCATCCAAACAAGATAACGCTTCCTTATTACAATTCCGTTGACCCAAGACCGCTACGTGACGTCCTAATTTCTTCGCTTCCCACACAAATAAACAACACTGATGCAATCAATCAGTAATGACTAGACCGGTGCGTCCATATCCTCGAGAGCCGCAGCCATTGTCGTGTCCGTTACGCCACTGCCCTTGGGCCCCGCCTCCTCCGCGGCGACGACGACGCTGGCCCGGCAGAGCGGGCAGGTGGTGTGCCGCCGCCGCAGCCAAGCGTCGACGCATGCAGCGTGGAACCGGTGCCCGCACCGCGGCAGCGCGCGCCCTTCGTCGCCGTCCCGCAGCTCTGCGATGCACACCGCACACTCGGCGCCGGCGCCGGACCCGGAGCTCGCGACGAACGTCGGCAGCGACGCCACGAGGCGGTCGTGCTGGTCCTGGGACGTTGGAGGCGAGGACGGCGGTGTCGAGGCTGTGGACGACGCGTCGTCGTCGTGGTCCATGGCGTTAGAGGCTGAGGGGGACGCGCCAGCGCGTTTGCGGGAGAACACCCTCCAGAAGTAGAGGTAGACGAGGGCGACGAGCGCGACGTTGACGACGACGAGGCAGGCCGTCGTGCCGCGGCCGTGCGGTGCCCACCGGATGCTGCTGGAGGGGGTGCTGGATGCCCTGTCCGTGCCAGGGTCAGTGTCACCATAGGAGCTCGAGCTCTGTCCTGACATGGCGAATTGGCGATTGGCGAGTGGTGAGCTACTGGTGATGGCCGATGGATTACAAAACCATTAACCAAGTACTCAGAGTGTCAGGCAGAGGAAAATGGTCGTGAACAAGAATTCTGATGAGCAAGAACAAGAATTCGACGATAAAGGTGGGGAGAGGGAGCGGAAGAACAGGAACAAAACAGCGAGAGCGAGACCGAAGAATAAATGCTCCCGAAAATATTCGGCTGCTACCCGCGTCAGGTACCCACCCTAGCCCCCGCCCTCCGATTGTGCTATGAGATCCGTGCCTCATAGCTTACGTGTCCCACCCGATTTCATATGGACCAGGATTAGTCCACGCTGGCATCACACATGGTTTTACTCTGTCAATTGAATTTTATTGGCCGCCGCCCTCTCTGTCCGTCACCCTCCCCCATGCGAATCCACTGCTCCCTTTCTACAGGTTTCTAAATCCTCATCCATCTTCAGGCAAAACGAGGGTGCGCTCGTGCTCCAAGATTTCCTCGCCGGCTGGAGACGCGCTGTACGGCGCTGGCTACTCGAGTCGACGAGCGTGCGGATCCGGTGCGAGCTCGCGCACGGAGGAAGCTGAGGGCGCGCGCGAAATGAGTTTTGCGCGCCACCGGATTCGGCGGGTGCGATGACGGCAGTGATTGCGGGTGCGGCGTCGGGGCGGAAGGGCAACCTCAATGAAGCTGCGACGGCATCGGCTTCCTCCATCGGCCATAGATCTGGCTCAACGGCGGGCCTCTTCCCCATTGGCCGCGGATCCGACTCGTCGACGGCCTTCTTCCCCGTTGGTCGCGGATCTAGCTCAGCGGCAGCCCTCTTCCCCTTTGGCCACGGCAACGGCCCGACGGCGGCATTGGCTTCTTCTTTGGCATCTGGCGCAGCTGTCTCGGCGGCAACAGCTCGGTGGTAGTCCTCTCCCCATTTCGGGCTTCAATTCCATCCGTCGTCATCAACGGCATGGTGGGATGCAGGCATGCAACTGGCTTTTCTAGTCCGATTTCTCCTTTATGCTAAATACTAAATACTTGCTTCTTACTACTTGGTGACGTGATAAGTAGTATGTATACTCTTGCCTTTTGACTGACATCGAGTCAGTCAGTATGTATATGGTTCTTTTTGTTATACCTGTATGTCAACAATTGGCTAATTCAGGCTGTGGAAGATGAATCTTCCCTTGGACTTGGGTACAGAATTGCTTTACATGAAACACTGAACCAGTTGGTATGCTCAGAGCCACATGTGCAATATTTATCTTTCCATCTATTTGTGCAAGCTAATGTCAGAAACTTTCAGTTTCTTTATTCTCAGTGATAAAACTGTTAATTGAAACTGAACTTGAACTTGAAGGTATGCTGTAGACATTTGGGTATGTTGTATCGTTGAATCAAAGATCCTGTTACTGTTAGTGTGAACTTGATCCTGTATGGAGCTTTCAGTCATTGCTATTTTATATTGCCGTGAACATGTCATGGCTGTGTATCTTGAAAATTACTATGAACAACCTCAGTTTCAGTTACTAGAATGATCACTAACTGCTGTTTTTTCAGTTTCAGTTACTGGACAGGAACTTCCTAACATAGTGAAGGCAACTTGAAAATTAACTATGTCATTGCTTTTTAGATCATTCTAGCAAATATATTATTTTTGTCTTCATCAACTTAGATTCTGTTCAATGCCTAATAGCATTTTTGGTCGTTTCCCCTTCTGTGTGCATGCTGCTACCGTGAAGCTGCTATGATCATGTCCTAGCAGCGAGCTGAATGTTCAGTTGAAAAAGAATGCTTGTGGGTGAAAGAGAATCTTTACAATTGTAGTATGAATATTTTGTAATCTTCGATTGTTTATGGGTATAAAATCATGTATCAAATAGCAACACAATGGTATACTGAAAGATATTCAGGATTGATCATGTCATGGCGCTGGTCACACACATCATGTCGCTGTAAAAGTTGCATTTGGCCGGACTGATGTTTGCCTTATCATTATTTTTTTCCCCAACTCTCTACTTGATGTTCAGAGTTTTCATATATGTTACACACCTGAAACTCTACCGAAAAACAAAATGAACCTCATTGTTGAGCTTGCCTGAAATTGATTCGTTGTGGCCATCAACTCTTAGTTCTGAATCATGAACTTCAATGTTGACTGAAACCGGCTGAAAACTTGCTTAAACTCTGGAGAACATGATAGCACCAGTTAGCAGTGCTCACTTGTAATATATGTAAAAAAAAACAATGGCCTTGTTCGCTTGAACTTATCGGCTGTACCGTTTCAGCAAAATAACAGTATTTTTCTTTCACAACAAATCAGCATCAGCATCGATCGTTTTTCCAGCCAGCCGAACGGGGCAATGAAGTGCACATTCGAGATGCTCCCATGTTGATGCAAATATGCTAAACAGTGTGTGCCGGAAGATGAATAAAGAACAATCATCCCTAATCAACTCATTCTTCGACTGTATATCAGATACTAGAAGGTGCAGTCTGGAGATCTCGAGAAATGAATTGCCACTAGAAGCTATCAGATACTAGAAGCTTATCCGCTTCTAGTGGTCATTTTTTAGATGGGCTTCTCCGAAATGAATTATGAGCGAGCTTTTTTTTTCTAAGAAGGAAGCTTATTTTTCTCACTCGCAGACTTATCTCCTTTGTCCCGAGCTCGATTGCCGCGGCAGCCACTCCCGATACCGTTAGGCTTCTCCAACGAAGCCCCCGTCCCCTCCCCGACTAGAGCATTGCCACCTCCCATTGATCGGAGCTTGACCGGCGACCGCAGCCGCCTCGCACCAACCGGATCTCACTCTCAATCGCCGTCCACGACTAGAGGTCTGCAGCACCATCCGTTTTGCTGACCAGATCATCGTTCGCAATCGCCTGCTTCGCCTTGCCGAGGCAAGCTCGCAATCAAGGTTCACTTTACCGGTAGGAAAAAAAAAATACCAGAGGTCACCAATAAACGGGTTTATCGGATTTATTGGAAAATTTCTCGGTCAAAAATAAAAACAAAAAATACCTAATTTCTCTATAAAATTACATAAGTTGTCTCTAAAGCATTTAACATTAAGAACTAGCACATAATAGTATTGATATAAGAGAATATCACACTTTCATGTAGGTGAACTAGTGAAAATTTGAATCTCGGTGATAAATAAAATTTATCGGACCTCAGCGATAAACGGGATTATCGAGTTTATCGAAATTTTATCGCAGATAAATTTTTCCCTGCCGAGAACTACCATCAAGCCTGCCTCCGGGGGCGGGGGCACATGCAGGATTGCAGGAAGAAGGATCTGGTGAGCTCACCTCCTCGGCGTACCTTTGCCAATGGCCGCAACCGCCCGAATGGGCCACTGTGCGGCTAGCTGCAGCAATCGAGCACCGTACGCTCTCCATAGGATCATGGATCTGCTTCAATCCATGGGTCACCCAGTCCGCCTGGCGAGCAGCATCGTTGGGCGGCCCTCCGCTGTAGTCCAACCCGCCTAGGATAAGCTTGCCTCATCTCCACCCTCAACCAGTTGAAGCTTGGTGCCGGTAGGTATGGGCATTCGGTTCTTCGATTTTATTTCTTGGTTCTCGAAGAAATTTGGTTCCTAGAATATAGTAATCAATTGGTTTTTGAGATATTCTATGAACCGAGCATTTCGGTCTGGGTTTGGTTCTAACCGAGCTAACCAAACTTTTCCGCCAGAGATCAAGACAACATAAATTGTGCAGGTTATAAAACAATTTGAGCAACACTTCCTCAAATGTGTTTGGATAATCTACATAAAAAATTATAAATGGAGACACATTAGCTAATTCACTATAGCAAGCATAGACAGTTGTGGGACTAAATAGAAAAGTATTGAGTAGGAATAGAAAAAATAAAAAAAATATATATAATATTAAAAAACATTTTATAAATAAATAGAAAACAACTATTATATAGCTTAGCTCTTATAATTAAGTTGACTTATAGCCAAGCACTTGACTTTATTATTGACATTGCTTGTATTCATGGTTGACTTATATAGTATGTATCATCGGAAGTCCACTGCGATTTCTATTCTAGTACTAGTTTTTAGATTTTTCTTCTCCTACAGTGTCGATTCTATAAAAATCGCAGATAATTTATGGTTGATGGATGCATCGTCCTTTTCATTGTCAGGAACCAAGTAGTCCCCACGGCTCACTCAAGAGTCATGATCGAGAAAGATATGTCCATGAGCCCATCCGCAAAAATCGTACTACGTACAAATCATGGCAAAAATAGCTGGCAACACCAACAAATCTATGTACAGTGACTGGCAGAACGCTCCGAAACAATCGAGGTAAGCAGGTCCATGTGCGAAGATCAGAGGAAGCTTCCGAGGTCCTGTGGTAGCCGATGGGGCCTGTCAGAAGGAAGAGAATCGGGTGGAAGCAAAGACCCGCCTCGCCTTCTCAAGATCCCTGCCGCTATGCAGCCTCTCCATCACCGGCGCCACCGTGGAGCCATTGTCCGGCGCGGCGACGGCGTCCGCTGCCACGTCTATGCGCACCTCCGGCTGCGCCCCGCCCTCGGCTGGAGCGGACGGCGCGGCCGCGCCCGGCGCCACGACGACGACGTCGGCGCGGCAGAGCGGGCACGTGGCGTTCCCGCGGAACCAAGCGTCGATGCACTCGACGTGGAAGCGGTGGCCACACCGCGGCAGCGCGCGGGCCTTCTCCCCGGGCTCAAGCTCTGCGAGGCAGACCGCGCAGTCCCCGCCTTTCCCCGCGCCTGCGTCGACCACTACCACTGGTATCGCGGCGAGCACCGCAGAGTCGAGGCCGCGGGGGGAAGAAGGCGCCCCCGCGCCGTCGCCATCGCCGTCGCGGCGGTCCTCGTCGCCACCACCGGCGATGGCCAGGCTCCGGAGCAGCCGCCGCCGGCCGCCGCCTAGGCCGAGGCGCCGGCGCCGGGCGCTGTTGTAGAGGTGCAGCGCGACGAGCGCCAGGAGCACGCCCGCGAACGCCCCCGCCACGGCGAGCAGGATCTTGCCAGCGATGGCGTAGCTCGCCGGGTCGGACACCGGCTGCGGAGCGTCGGGGCCGACGTGCGGGCGCTTGGGCAACGGGGGGCCAGAGCCGTCCAGCGCCGCATGGCCGGGACTCTGGTTGCACGGGTTCGTCACCTCGTTCGTCTTGGGGCCCGTGCCGTTGCCGTTGCCGTTGCCGTCGCCGGCGCCCATGTCTGATGGTTGAGAGTGCTCACCGAACTGAGCGAGCTGTGGTTTCGCGGAAGGTTTGGGTGTGCGCAGCGTGGTGACTTCGGTGAGCGCAGTTACTTATACGTGATTTCAGGACTGAAATACCCTTGTTAATGTTGGAGATATGGGATGGAGATGGAAGGGTAGCCCCGGGTTTTTACCATTGGCTGGACGTCTGGGGCACGCTGGAGAACGGAGAGGCAGCAGTCCTTCGCAGTCCGTCTCCGTTCCCCGTGCTGACTGGCTGACCGCCCGTATGCCGTGGGACGGCCGTGATGCGTACGCCGCGCGGGTCCAGACGCAGGGTCAAGAGTAGAGTTGACTAATCAGCATCAACCAACCAGGTGTTACCGTGTTACTGCGCGCTCGTCTCCTCTCCTCTTCACACACAAATCACAATGGAAGTCGCTCTCTTTAGCTACCCCCACTTGAACTTGCAAGCTGTCGCTTGCCTTGCCGCGACTTGGACCTGGTCGGTCACCTGGGCAAAATTTCCCGGGGGCCGGGGGCCAGACGGCGAGAGGCAGCGCGAGGGCGTGGAGCCGTGGATGCGTGGTCGGCCCTGGCCGATCGACACGCGAAGCTTCGCGGAAGCGAGGCGGCCGTTGTCGCGACGCCAGCCACGGCACCCGGCAGTGGCGCTGGGACTGTGACTTCTTGGCTGTGTGGGCTCCCGGCGCCGGAAGCAGCAGCATGAAGTGCCGCTCGATCCCAATCCGGGACCGCCAGGCCTGCACGGATCGGGACCGGCACGTAATAAAAATGGCGCTGATAGGGAAGGAAGATGGTCCCAAAGGCTAGCGACTGTTCGCTTAGGTTGAAATTTGGCTTATACCGATGCTTATGTTGAAATGTTACAAGAGAAAACACTGTTCCATGGTTGAAAAAGTAGCTCAAGCGAACAGGGTACTATTTAGCGGCAGCTTATTCAAAAACTAAAATAATTTATTTAGCGATTTTAAAAACTAGTAGCAAACATACATATGTGCTGAACCGAGACAGAATTTATCGTGCGGTTACTTGAATTCGTCAGTGCCAGTTATAATTGATAGTTCCTCGGAAAAAAAATATAATTGATAGTTCATTGGTATTAATCGAGATTGAACTATAATCAAGTGTGAATAAAGGGTAAGAAAAAATTACAAAGACAAGATATAAGGGGTGTAATATGCTCTCAATATCAGCTTGCTTGTATAAGATAAAGAGTTGGAAAATAACTCAGCATGGATGTTTTATATGTAAAAAAAAGTGTGAATCAAAGGGAATTGTGATGATCGATTACTTGATCCTATGGATGGTATTCATAAGAGGAAGTTGATCAAGGTCATAGTATTTCAAGCAAAGACAATATAGAATCTTGATTGATCTCAAGGTTGAAATAAAAAAATATTCAAGAAGAGTCATGTTATTGAAGAAATTAAATTAACGGAATGCTCAAGGAAATGGCTTCGAGGGACAAAGCAAAGGTGAAGGACAAGCGATGGCTTGGCTGTGGAGGGACCATGGCCAACGTGAAGAAGCAAGTACTTGTGTTTATCTGAGCACTAATCAAATCATGAGGAGTCATGCAATGTGACAAATCCTTGTTGATTTAAGAATTGAGATGAGTTGAATCCTTGAATTGAACCTATATGTGTTATCGTATGCTCAAGAAGGACTTGGTCAAATATTGAAACAAAACTGGTTGCAACCCTTGCGAATATATATTGGGGAGAAACGACATATGAAGAGTTGTGCAAACTAAGATGTTTTTATTTGATTTTTATTTCATGTCTTGAATATCGTATGTCGTATCATCAAGAGGGATGCGATGTTGAATGGTTTGACAAGTCTTGTGATCAACCTAACCAAACCCAAGTGTTAACTTGAAAGCAACACTTTAATTATATAACACGTATAATATAAAATAATAAAATATTAACTTTTATAATATCAAATAATAACATTTATATAAAATAATAACATTTATAAAAGTATCATTAGATTCTTCATTAATTATACTTTTATAGTATATCTATTTGATGACATAAATCTCTATAATTTTGGTTAAACATGGGATGCTTTGACTCTCCAAAAAAGTTGAAATAACTTATAATTCGGAATGGGGGGAGTATAAGGCAAAAAAGCAAAAACCCCTTGACATTGTGCACGCGGCGCGAGAAATAAAAAGGTATTGTAGTTTTTTTCGGTAAAACACATTTTTCACCATCAAACTTGCACGGCTGATTTTCAATCTGAAACTACGAAAGCATGTAACAGACACCCTCAAATTATCAAAATCAAACAAATTTGGTCCTCATGCCGGTTTTAAAGGTGGTTTTCTACTTTTATCAAAATAGTAAAAATCTGATTTACTATCTAAAAATTCATACATAATTTATTTTAAATCAGAAAAATATGAAATTAGTACTATTTTTTGTAAAAATGTTCTCTACTTGTTTATGCTCTATATATAGGTATTTAGAATTAGTTTATTTATATTCCTATTACTTTATTGCTCGTAGTTGCACTCATTATTTATTCAAAACAAGTAGGATTCGAATAGCTCTAAATATAGAAAATCAGATAGATGATATTTTAGAGGAAAAATGGAAGCAGTTTCATATTTTTTATGATTTAAAATAAATTAATTATGAATTTCTTGAGATTAAATCAGATTTTTTATTATTAGAAAATAGAAAAATCACTTATGAGACCCGTCAGAGTAGTAAATTTGTTCGATTTTGATAGTTGGAGGGTGTGTGCTACTCGGTCTCATAGTTTAAGGTTGAAAATCAAAGTACGATGTAAGTTAGAGGTTGAAAAATGTGCTTTATCTTAGGTTTTTTGGGCAACCAGTTTCAACGTCTCCACACCCAGAACCTTACTAGTTCTAGAGCGCCTAACTCTTCTCACCACGGCGACCGTACATTGCATACGAATATGCATGTCCAATTGGTGCTTAGCCTACTTTCTTTGAAAGAGGACCGGAGACTAACGAGTTGAGTCGTCACGCCAATGGATGAACAACATTGACGGACGGCATTGTGCGCGTAGGCTAGGATTTTATGGTTTGCAAGCGTCAAGCGAGGCAGCGGGCGCAGTTGCCGAAGAGCACGCAGCCTGCAGGACAACAGGCAGGTAAACCACTGGCTGCCTGAACTCGGTATGTCGTCTTTGCTCCGGAATCGGGGACTTGGGGTTCACATGAACTCATCGTTGTCACTGGTTTCTTCTGGCAACTGAGCATCCTTTTCGATCAAGTTGTTTCCTTTTCTGCCGAATTGTCGTGAAATTTGGTTCAAAGACAACCCCGTGGATGCCCCTGCTCTCATCGTTTGGGTGAGCAGCATTTGGATTGGAAGCACATTAAATCAATGGGACCGCGTACGAAATGTCTGCTTTTTCCTTTTTGATGAAGATTTTGTCTTATATTAGTTTCGTTGCCCACGCGCTGAGGCACGGCCGGACGGCCCTGTCCGGCTCCGGCGGCCGCCACCCTCCACCTCAGCACGTTGAGGCGCGGCCCCGCCACAGGATCGTTGCCCGCTGCCATCTGGGTTCTGGCCTCCTCTTCTCACTTCTTGGTTAGGATTCCGCAAGTCTCGTCTCGTTTCCCTGCGATACACTGCGGAAATCAGGGAGCTTCAGATGCTGCGGCCCTGAATCACGTGGTGGCTTGGCGGCGATGGCGCTTCGAATCGACGGCACCCTTCACCAATCCACAGGCACAGGGGCGGACCTAGAAAAATTTTCCACGAGAGCGAGCCAGCGAGGTCGACTCGTTCGCGGTTCGCCGAAGGCCCGAAGCTCTGATGGCTGCAAAGCCATCGGTACCTTGGACGAGGCGGCGATGGAGGACAACCCTACCGCTTCAGTAAGCTGAAATGCTCTTGTATTTGCCCCGTGTGCTACACTGTCACTTTCTCACTCATAACTTGCGTGTTTTGGGCTTAATAAAAAAATATCTTACGGGGTGTTTGCATCCCTTTATTTAAGAGGAATTAAAATCTACTTAACTTTGATTTGGAATTTAATATTTCATAACTTTACAAAGCTCACAAATAAACTATCTTAAATTCATAGGGTGTGAGATAGAAATGGATTCTACAAAATTCTACTTTCCAACTTATAGCACACTCTTCAACTTACTTCCCTACAATACAAATACAACATATAAGTATATCCCTTATATTCCCAACATCAAATATATAAATATATTTTATATATAACTATATTAGCTTAATTAATCTATGTCTAAATTGTAATTCTTAAAATGAATTCAATTAAAGATCCAACCGGGCTCTTATAGTAATCACGACTACTAAAAATTGACATATGGTTTCGCAGGATCTGCTTGAACTACAGATTTATTGACTGACTTCGATATGTCAGTTAGTTTGGATGCATGCATTTTAACAAGACAAAATTCCTTCTTGATCCTAAAAAGAGCTCAGCTTCGTTTCTCGGCCCTTTTAGATTTGATTTGACTTTCTTTCCTTACATGACCCTTCTGTCAGAATTGGTCATTAACGGTGTTAAGTAGGGGATGAAAAGGTGATTTTACCCTAAGCGAAACAGGTAAGTTCAGTTTTAGTATATTTCATTTCAAGAATTATTTAGACTACTTTTGTATGGTTTAAGGTCATCATAATTGAACAAAATAAGGTACAAATTATTTTTGAACGTGGAAGCATAACGAAAATAGTCTAAATAATCCTCAAAATGAAATATACGAAAACTAAACTTACCTAATTTGCCCAGGGGTGAAATCACCATTTCGTCCCCCACTTAACATTGGTAGTGGCCAAATCTGACGGAAGGGCCATATAAGTAAGGAAAGTTAGATTTGAGGCCAAATAGGTAACTTCAAATCTAAATGGGCCAAGAAGAAAGCCAAACCTTTTTTAAGCATGAGGAATGAATTTTCTCTTTTAACAAATTGTGTAAAAAACCCTGTCATCTCGACTATTAGTTTCCTGTTGATCATTCCGATAGTAACT